CCCTAATCATTAACCGAGTGAGGACTGTTATCAATAAATTGTCTACAATCTGATGCGTGTACAACTCAAATCAGTTCGACTTAACGCTACTACAACTCGCGTTATATCGCTGGCAGTAGTTGTCTCCGACATCACCCTCTCAAACGAACCCTATCAATATTCGCTACACCTAGGTTGAAGAAATCAAAACTTTGTGAATTATGTTTGAAAAACAGCCACTCACAGAAAATCCGCATGAGAAGAATAAAATGTTTTCATTGTTGATCTGACCACAATAACGCTTTATGCAGGAAATGCAACGAAATAAAGGAATTTCAAAAATGGCGAAGTAAATGGAAGTTGAAAGATACCTATAGTGAGTATAAACGTGAAGAAGTTTCATGATAATGAAAAATATAAAAGAATCATAAATGAATGTGTAATGATGTACTAATTTGCATCCTCCATGTTGGATGATGATTAAGATTAAAAATCATCCAAAGTCTATTCTGTATGAGTATGGTACTATCATCGCGTAGAATTGTATATGTGCTCATTGTTTAGCAATGTACTCTAAGAGCCTTACATTAACTTACGCTAACAAAACGCTTTACCAATGTACGCTAACAAAGAGTGCTTTATCAGCACAAGCTAACAAAAGCGCTAATCCTTGTAATCGTGAAGGTTGTGCATATGTGTATAGCAGAAGGACATCCTTCCTTTCTTTTATTCTCCAGATTAGTGTCTTCAAAATTCATTTTGTGGCAACGTTTTTTGTGTTTTATAATTTCATGTTTATGCTACGCTAATATCGTTTCATTCATCTAATTCATTTCGCTAATATTGTTTCCCCAAGTTTGAAGTGGAAATGAAAAATCCGCAACTGTGTCACATAACCAAGAAAATTCAGCTAAAAGTTGTGTCGTGAATTTGCGGCAAGTCAATTTGAAAATTTTAAAATCGAGGAAAAATGGATCTCTGCATTAGTCGACAGTACCTACCAGAGGGCGATTGTATCGATCATTGAAAGACGTACCGGATTCTCTACCAACTGCAGTACGCAATTCTATCTATCACTTTCTCAGTGAATAATTTGGAGGAAATAAATCAGAAACGGTTGAAAGTGATTAAGCAACTGCCTGATGATAAATAGAAAAAGGAAGACCAAATATATGCACAAACTATAGCTGATGAATATAGTTTCATTAATGTGGTAGAAAAATGTAGAGAGATGTCACCAATGCTGAAGACGCAAAAGGGAGAGTTGGAAATCGTTATTTTTATGTTTTGACAAAAAAGAGCTCGGACCATTACTTTCACTTCATTCTCCATATCAAATAAAGTTCGATATACTAAATTACCTAAACTGAAATTGCAAAAACTCTTGGGCGTACTTCCACAGTGGCCTAGTGGCCTGCTTTCTATGCAAATTTTCAAATTGCTGTGGATAACCAAGACATTTCTGCAATAGAAAAATTGTCCCATCTCATGGATGTTTAGCTGGAAGAGCTATGACAGCTATTTCTGAATATGCTATTGCACCTGAAAATTATCCAGTGATGATGAATGTATTCAAACGAAAGTTTGGAGATCAGAGACCAATCCACCGGTAGCTATACTATGAATTAAAAAGGACTTCCAACCGTGGAAAAGAGCAAGGATCTCCCACCAATTGTGGAAAACTTGGGAAGAATTCCACGGCAACTGAAAATATTGGGGGGGGGGGGGGAAGATTTCGAGCGACCAGAAATTGAAGCAGAAATTGAGTCAAAATTGTCACAGTGGTTCTGCAGGAGATTTATCAAAAGAGAAAAAGACGATTCATGGTCTAGGAAACTGAGGCAGCAATTAAAAACAATAATAACACAGAGTGAAACTATGAGTCGAATACAACAAGAGATGGGAAGATCGAGTCTGACTCGATCCGACTCAGAGTTACACAGGAAAGAAGCCAAATCGAACAAGGAAGCCAAGTCGAGAACAACATCAAACTTTGAGTATATTTGCTGCTATGAAAAGCTTTGTTAAGGGACCTTACGCCCTTCACTCAAAAGACTGTTGGAATGATGAATGCAGTGAATACAGAACATTCTATCAAAGACTTCCAGGGCTCAAGAACTGCATCTGTGTTTCCGATGTTTGAGAAACATGACAGCGGGAAATGCGACTAAAAAAAGTATGTCTTTTCATTGTAAGAGTAAACACAATTCTGCATTGTGTTAAAGATCTCAAAAAGATGAAAGTGACGATTTGAGACAAGAGAAAAAGAATGTCGTGATTGAGAAAATGAAAAATAGTGCTCCAACAACGACTGTTGCATTAATAAATGATAGTAAAAAGACGGTTTTGCTGTGTAAGGATGTAACAATCATCAGTCCAAGGAGCAATAAATATGAAATAACAACTTTTGACAACTTTTCTGAATGCTGGATCACAATTATCTTTCATCACCAATAAGCACATAAGCATTTGGGGCTTAAGGGAGCAAATGGAATTGTTGAGAATAGAAGGTTTTGTTGAAGAGGAATTCAAAAAACATCAAACAGTAGCGTTGTCAGAAAGCCCGAAACAGTTTTCCACAATGTAAATGTGGCTCATATTGACTTGTAATATTTGAAGGTTTTTTTCCTCCGCTACTCTCTTGTTCACTTGTATTAGCTGTCTATATATAGTAATAGACAAAGGCTCTTGTGATAATGTAGAGCTTCGTCTATTAATGTGCCGTCTGGACCTTGTGTTCACAGAGTTCATTGGAAAATTCGGAACTAGAGGATGAAAGTAAACATTCAATATACTTACCAAGACATAATATAGTCACTGAGCTTCTCATACAGCATCAACATGAAGCACTACATCATGCCGGAATAATCGGATACCTAAAAGACGAGTGTAAGTAAAACACATTATAAACTGCTGCACAGGTTGCACACGTTAAACGGCTAAACCATTTAAATTACTAGCCATGCCGAGTCTTCTGGAAACATTAAATTAAACGATCAAGAACATTTGATTTGGATCTGCAGCTATCATTCATATCAACTAATTTAACAAAAAGGCTAGACATTCAGGGGGCGGGAGAGGAGAGATTAAGTATTGCTTCATTCGACAATCAATTAGCGAAGAAATGCAATTCAACCAAAGCAGAAGTTGGTGTAAGAATCGGAAAGACGGAAATCATAACTCGCGAGGTTAACATAATGGAGTAACTTACAAATAAGCTGGAAGTGGTCACAGCCGAAGACAAAAATATCAGTTCTATAATGGAAAGAAAAAACTTAGAAGGGATAAACGGTTACTGCAAGCAGCCTGAAATATTCATTGGCGTCAAAGACTTCTTTAAATTCATTAAACTAAATGGAGTACAAGAATTGAAATCAGGATTCCTGTTACTCAGGACAAAACTGGGACCAATGCTAGCCGGAAATGGTTATATAAACAGTATTCGCAAAGCAAGCGCTACATCAGTAAACTCCGTAGTATCATGCGTGGCTAGCGCAACAAACCACGAAGATATTGACCACTGGATATTCAGGACCATCCGAACGAGAACGATGACGAACAAGCCCTTGAGCAATTTAAGAAAAGTATAACGAAACAAGACGGGAGGTACCAAGTTTGCTAACCTTGGAAAGGCTCAAGGGATAAACTAAAAAGCCATTATGGACTATGCTTCGGATGCTTTAAAACCGTGATCGGGAGACTTCAGAACAGTGAAGATATACTTCGACGGTACAACGAAACGATTCAGGATCAACTGCGGTCAGGCATAATTGAGGAAGTTCATCCTGATATGGATCAAGAGGGTGTAATTCATTATCTACCTCATCATGAGGTACCCCAGCATAAACCTATAACAAAACTTAGAATAGTCCATGATGCTTCGGCGATCTCAAGAGAACAAAAAGTTTAAACGAAGTCCTATATCGCGGACCTATCATGCTTCCGGATTTAGTAGGAATACTATTGCGGTTTCGAATGATGAAAAATGCAATCATAGCCGACGTCGAGAAGGCGTTTTTACAATTGGAACTGCATCAGTCCGACAGGAACTGTACCAGATTCCTCTGGACAAATGATGTAAAATTTGCGGTTACCGAGGAAAACCTGAAATGTTATCGTTTTAGAAGAGTTCCTTTTAGAGTAGTATCATCACCGTTTTTGCTAGCAGCAACACTCAATCATCATCTGGAAACAATCGGAAGCCAGACAGCGCTAGAGATCTGGAGGAATTTATATGTGGATAACGTTATATTGTCAGCAAATGGAACAAGGGAAGCCATAAATAAATATCACGAAGTGAAGGATATCTTCAAGAAGACGGCGATGAATATTCGCGAATTTCTATCCAATGACCAAAACTTCAATAAGGCAATACCGAAACAAGACAGAATCGAAGGAGGTGCAACAAAAATTCTTGGCATCACTTGGATAAACGATAAAGATACAATCAGAGTAACGCTAAAACCATGGATCGAACATGAACTCACCAAACGAAGTGTCTTGCAATTCGTCGCTTCGCAATATGATCCTTTGGGATTTTTAGTCCCCACAATGATCCAGTTCAAACTGTTCCTCCAAAACTTATGGAAAAGAAATAATTCTTGGGATCAAATCCTCGATGAAGATGATAAAGAAGCATGACGATCTCTTACAAAGGAATGGGCAGCAGACGTTATCGAGATACCGAGGTTGGCTACAAAAAAAGCTCTCAGATCAACAACTCCATGTCTTCACGGACGCATCAAGTGTTGCGTATTCAACAGCTGTGACTTTTTGTCTTGTCTTGCGTGCGGTAAGCTCCAACAGAAACTTCGAAATATCCAAAATAAATACTGAAACAACTTAGCGGAAAAGACTCAATTACGTACAAATATGGATGACCATAAAGAGTTCTATGAAGCTTTGGAAGCGGTGAATGGGCCAACATACAACGCTCAAGGCTCTATACTCAGCGCGGGTAGACAAATACTTCTCAGGAATAAAACCTCTATCCTAAGTCGATGATCTGAACACTTTTTAAATTCTCTTCAGTACAAACCGTCTAGTCCAAGACCCAGCAATTTAACACACTACATAAGAACCGATGAAAAGCGGACTAGATATATCCCCTACCTATAAGACGTTGAAGGTCATACAGCAGATTCAAGCTGGCAAGGCAGTTGGGGTTGATGGAATTCTACCTGAAGTCTGAAAGTATGGAGGTCAAACACTCCACACTGAATTTCACGAGCATGTTACTGGAGAGAAGGCAAATTATCACCAAATTTCTCTGATGCAGTCATCATTACCCTATATAAGAAGGAAGAAAAGTCAGACCGTCAAGTTACCGAGGGATTAGTTTGTTTTCTATTGCTGGTATAATGCTTGTAAGTATATTTCTGAACAGATTAGTACTCGCTATCTCAGAAGAACTTCCATCTGACACCCAATAAGACTCTACATAGAACCAATAGAGTACTACACAAATAGCATTTGTTCTGAGACAAGAGAAATGTAGGAAACAGAACAAAGGAGTCTGTATAAATTTCATAGATCTCAAAAAAACCTTTCACACTGCAGGCAGAAAAGAAAAGAAAAAAAAGGAAACGTCTGTGATAGATCCTGAAATGATTAGGATGTCTTCTGAAGTTCCTCAAAACAAAATTATTCTGTTACATGCGAATCAGCGAGATCAAGTCAGATATGGCAATGCACCTTTTGAGCTCTTCCCAATAATTAATGCTGTGAAAGAAGATTGTGTCCTTGCACCAACTCTATTCACAATTTCCAAATTTTTTATTTTATAAAAATTATCCAGGTATGCAAAAAATGTATTGGTGATGAAAAGTGACATTTCGTGAAGGTTGAAAAGGTAATGGAATAAATAATATAAATAAATATAGATTCAGCTAATTTTTAAAAGAGTCAAGCAAGAATGGAAAGATTTTAGAAAATAGTGAAAGTTATCTTGACATAACCTTAATATTCATAATGATTTTTAGACGATTACCTCAAAAACTTGCGTCAAAAACAGAAAGCAAACAAAATCAAGATAACATTCAATCTAAGAGCCTGTAATTATAAGATCCAAATGGATTGATGTGGTGAATTTCTTGCCATTTCTTGCAATTGAAAGCAATAGATGGCGCTAATTTGGATTAAATT